AAAAAAAAAAAAACCCCCCCCCCCCCCCCCCCCCCCCGCGGGAATACGCGAGATACATAAACGATAAATGAACGAATGTTTACTATGAAATGTTTACCGGACCACTTGCCGATGCGTGAATTATTATGCGGATAATTATAACAGTTCATTAATATTTGTCGCACGCTAGAGGAACATGAAATAAATCACGTGGTGCTCGCGGACCTGTAAAATATTACTTCCGCGGCGAACGTGTTTGTCGAATAAGTGGCCGATTGTAAACCGTATTACAAGCGTTACTTTAACAATCAATCTGTAATTTGTTGTACGTTTTGGGGGACACGCAGTAAATTATTTCACGTTCGCGTCTGAAACGAAGGAAGTCATTTATCCCTCCCCCACCCCTCTTTCGCTCAGTCGAGCAAGAAACGTGATATATGAGTCGTTTATTTTGAAAGTGGCATGAGTCACTTTATCGTAATGAAAAGTGGTGATTTTTTAATGTTTGTACGAAATTATTTATACTGAGAAAAATAATATCCATATTTTTAAACGTGTTCAAACGCAAACCCTTAAATATATCGACTTAAAAACAAAGCGACTTATGCCACTTTCAAAATAAACGGCTCATATATTTGCAGTTATTTAACCGACGGTGATAAGGCGTATTAAAAATACAGTAAATTCTCCCTAATTGATCCGCTGTTTGCATATAAAAATGAACAATTTAAGAAGTGGACGTACGAATATTCGAGCCTCGCGGGTCGTTTTAACCCTTAACCCTTTGCGCTCGAAGCTATCTTAACTGTAGATCTTAAAATAATTTTTCCGACTTATAACATTTTTATTTTATACAACAAAGTGCATTTTATGCATATGAAATTGACTCTTGCGACTCGCTCAATAGTTAAATCTTAACTTTGTTAATATAAGCATTATCTGAGAACGTGATATAACAAATCTTAATGGTGCCTCGGGGTCACCACTCGAGTGCAAAGGGTTAATAGTTGCCTATAGTCAGCAATTGAGCCGTTTATTTTGAAAGTGGCATAAGTCATTTTGTTTTTAAGTCGATATATTTAAGGGTTTGCGTTTGAACATGTTTAAAAATATGGATGCTAACTTTCAAGATTTATACAAGTAAACGATAATAATAAATATAATATATAATATAATAATATAATATAATATAATATAATATAATATAATATAATATATAATATAATATATATAATAATATATAATATAATAATAAACGATAATCAAATACAAATTTGTGATCTCAGGATACTGATATTTTTCTCCGTATAAATAATTTCCTATAAACATTAAAAAATCACCACTTTTCATCACGATAAAGTGACTTATGCCACTTTCAAAATAAACGGCTCAATTGTGAAAACGAGATGCGAGGCTCGAATAATCCTCTTCCGAAATGGTCCATTTTTGTTTCCGAGCGAATCGCGAAGAATTCGCTATAATCACAAACAATATTATACGAGTATCACGAATAAAATGCTGCTCTCGAAAAGATGATCCCCAATAATGTATTCCCAATAAACAGGAATTCATTTACCGTTACCGGCCTCGTTAAGTCCAAAAAACAATTCGAATAATCGATACAGTTACCGGCCGCCACGATAAACAATCGAATGTTTATAACAAACAGCGACATCCGTGAGCCACTCTGCCGGGCCAGAATCGGGCTGGAAATAATTTCAATAACATACACACGATTTATACTTCGGCCGCACCCCCGCCTTCTGTCGCAGAATAAATAACAGGTTTTCCCGGTAAAATAGAAAGTTTTTTGTTTACCAGCACAACTCGTCAAGCTGTCCCGTAAAGGGGAGAGAAGATAAATTCGGAGCGCGCGACCATTTTTCACGGTGCCGTTGAAAGTAATTGAACGGAACACGGAACACACGATTTTGATTCCGCGAGAAAAATCGATACTTAATGCTCGCGATAAGTTCGACCGAGAATCGAAGGAAAACACGGCGGCGGTGTTGGCGTAACGGTTGTATGCGAGTCGCGGCGAGCGGTGACAGTATATCGCGGACACGGTTGTGTCCGATGAAATGAAGTTTCACGATGGAATTTCGTCGTGTGGACAGCCGGGGACCGCTCCGTTGAAAATGCCAACGGGAGGAACGACAACGGACGCAGCGATGTTCGAAAACCGAGGAAGAGAAAAGCGTGTCGAGGTATGTGAGAGAGGTTAGATACTATAGTGACGCGGTCGAGTAACACGCGACGCATGCTTCCTCTCGGAATGTTTCCCGTGTGCGGAACGCAACGGGAGCCCGACGTGTTCCGAGCGGAGCTCACGGCCGACGACGTTACGTTTTCGCGGGGCCGGCGATGCGCAATTAATTCGGTACGCTGTGTAAACAAATTGATTGGCCCCTTGTTTGGAGGGCGACGGTGGAAAGGCAGAACAAACGATTACGCACGGGCACGGGGGCAAAACACTTACCACAATTCTCGCATTCGCCGGGCTCGTTGGACCGTTGACCGCCGTACGGTGTCGTTACATCGTTAATTCGGTTACACCACGTTCGTTCGTTGCGCACTGATCTTAGAAAAACTCGTGTAAATCGTATAAAAAAGGCAAGAATTTAAGAAACTGACAAGAAACTCGCCATAGCGGTGTTAATACTGGGCGGCCATGTTGCCTTCGCACGGCCACTCCCGACATCTCGCGGCGAGCCGCGGAACGAGCACGGTTTACCCGCGCGCAGTACGAGCCGGCGGCGCGAGATTCGATCGTTTCGACGGCGCGCCGGCAGATGGCGCGTCGATGTCCGTTTCTGTCGGAATCATCGAAAAACCACCCCGCGCGTATTTATGAAATTCCGTATTAATATTTCATGAAAACCGTTCGCCGACACCCGGGTCCCCGTTTAAACGCTTTAAACTTTCCTGCAGGCGGTTCGGCGCGTTTGAAAGCGCGCGCCGGACCGCTGCGCGTATCAACTTCCGTATCAACCACTCTGCCGGCCGTTATCGTTATATAGATTATATATAATGGTTTTATCGTATAAACAAACGGCAGTAATTAAATTAATATTGTTTACTCGTCGCGTGCGTGTAATTCCAATTTGCCGCATCAAATGTAGTGCGTGTCCGGCAGCGCGTTAAACTACCGTCACGCATCTTGTTAAATGCGCGTTGCACTCGCTCATGTAACCCAACAATGCTAAATTAATTACGGTACGCCGCGGCATACGAATTTCTCCTTTCGGGGCCACCCTTTTAGCGAGCGTTTCCGAAGGGTCGAAGGCGCGGCCGATTTTTAATCAGTCGCTCTCGTACGTTTCAATTTGTAATCCGTTGAAATTAACCCCTTAACGTGCACGCTCGAGTTAGCTCGAGCGCGCAAAACTGGCCAAACTGTGCACACTCGAGATAATTCGAGCGGCGTTGTACTTTATGTTGCCATAATTTTTCACGCTCGAATGCAATCGAGAATTGAAAATAACAATGTGAAAGCAAAAAAGAACAATCGTTTTTTATTGATATTTATCATTTACATGGGATTGTAAAGCTATAACACTTACTTATTCAAGTATAAAATATATCCTTTTTCTACTTATCACTCACGACTTATCTCTTCCTTGTGAGCCGCTTTCCGACAGCGTATTCATATTCAGATTCTGATTCGCTCATTTTTCAATATATATTTTACTAAAATATAATGTAAAATAAAATATAATAATAATAATAACAATAATAATAATAATAGTAATATTCTGAAAATTAGAATTGCAATAAAAATATTGATTATTTTTGTATTTTTGTAATTTTCTTGCCAGGACAACGTTCTAAATTGTGTTTTTTTACATTAAAAAGAATTGACATTTTTTGGCCGGCCTTTTTCAAAAAAACTGCGCATTAAGGGGTCAACGAAAAAGCTTTCGTAGGAAATGGTAAACAAATTTTCTTCATTTTATTCTACGAAACAACAGGAGTAAAACGTACGAGTAAAAATTTACTTCCTCTTTCAACAGTCTCGACAATTTCAAAAACATTGCAACGAGATTCTCTCATACCTCCGATTCTCTTCGCACTTCTTTCTCCGCTTCACCCCTCTTCCCGCCATAAATGCATCAGATCCGCAGTCTAATTACACAACGCAGAATAAGAGTCACGTATCTCGCGCGCGCGCCTCGAACAACCACCGAGCACGGAGTTATGCAAACAAAATTGTATCCACAATCGCGTTGAACAATTTCGCAGAGAGCTCTGCGAAAAAACAAAGAGTTGGGCGAGGTCTAAACAAATTCCAATCCCGTCGTTCCGACGAAGCGCGAGCCACCTTGCAGCGCTCGGCGGTCGCAGCGTCGAACCGTGACAATTTCGCAAGAAAATGTCGTTGCAACGACGAGCCTCGATTTCTCGACGCTTCCGTCGCTTCGACGACAAAACAAAGCCGACACCGCGGCCGAATAAAAATCCGACGAATAACAATCCGGGGTCGCCGAGAATTCGGTCGCCCCTCGTATAAATACGGGAACGAACGGGGGGAAGGGAGCGGCGCGGTGTCTTTTCCGCGGTGCATTGTGCACCCTCGGGAACGTCCGCCGCAATCGATCGCGCGCATCCGAATTTCGCGTGGGAGCGCGACACTTAAAGACGGCCATTTGCCACGGAGCAAGTTGGGCGCCGGGACGTCCAACTCTAATCGCAAGTTCCCGACGCATAACGTATGTCAGACGTCGCGCGGACAAATTGTGAGCAAGCGTCGCCGGGATACGTGTTCTTCGGGCGCCGGGAATTTTCCGTTCGTTATGCGGCGGCCATCGCGTTAAGAGTCGTTACGCGAGTTTGGTTATCCCGCTGCCATACGGAAGCAAGCTAACTTCCTTAACGAACTCTCGAACGAAGTTCGGTGACTTCCAGCTTCTGTTTCAGTCTCGCATAGCACGGTTAATTACTGTCAACAATTTCGGCAGGGCGCGGAGAACGCTGCGCCGCGGTGGTCGCCGCCGCTCGCCCCCCGATACATACACATATACACACACCACCCCTGTTTCTCCCGCTGTACTTTCCGCTATTGCACGCTCCGAGACGTCGCGCACCCTGCGCGGCCCGCCGTCTCCGACGGGTCGCGCCCCGTTTCTATGAATATTATAATGAGATGCATCCGGGGGATGCATCTTGGTCGCGGCGCGACCCCGCCGAAATCAAACGGGCCTCTCCCGTATATTCGCGTTAAGGCGTTCTTTGAAATTAAAATACGGGACCGGTGAAAAACAACTCGGCCGCCGGCGCGCCAACTTAGGCTAATAATTCATACGAAGACCGGTCGGAACACCCGCCGCGGCGGCGGCGGCGTCGGCGGCGGCAACTCCCCGGGCCCGGGGATGTGTTTTCGTTTTCTCTTAGACGGCACAACGGAAGGGTGGCTCTGGAAGGACGACGACGACGGGGGCGGAGTTTCAAACTCGCATAAACGCGAGCGTAACGCCGAGCGGTCTCTTTCCATGTTTCTGATTACTTCGCGAACTTTTGCGCGCCAGCGTGGCCGATACTAGGGAAGAGCTTTTAGACGGACTCTTTTTCGTCCTCTCTCTCTCTCTCTCTCTCTCTCTCTCTCTCTCTCTCTCTCGCTCTCGCTCTCTCTCGCTCGCTCTCGTTTTCTCTGTTTCTCTGCTCTCCTCTATTTTCCTCTCCGTTTCTCCCTCGTCCCCGTCCGGTGCATGGAATTCCCATTTTTTATGCCCGGCGGATCGCGGCGCGGAGGCGGCACACGCGATCCGCATCCCCGAAATTTAAAAAACCGTGGCTCGGCGGCGGAATCATAGGCATCCGCGCGGCACGGGGAAAACAAAATTGTTGCGGCATGTAACGGTACGAGGGCGTAGAAACATTTTGTTGTGCGAGGATGTCGGGTCGCGTGCATTCGGCATGCAGGTCGATATGATTGCGTACATAGCATTGCATGTCTCATCCGATACACGCCCGTACACACATTATCCGATATACGTGCATACGTTGCGTACACGCTCTCTCTCTCTCTCTCTCTCTCTCTCTCTCTCTCTCTCTCTCTCTCTCTCGACACATATGACGAAACAATGCCGCGCCGAATGGCTTTCTTTTATCCCCTTCTGTGTTGCGTTTGCTCTCTCCCTCCCTCTCTCTCTCTCTCTTTCTCTTTCTCTCTTTCCCTCTTGTTTTTTTCCCGTCGTGTTATTTCTCCTAGTTTCTGTCTGGCTCATAAGGTATTGATGATTCCCGAGATTGTTTCACGCGATACCCGCGGCGTATCGAAATATCAGCGCGAATATTGGAATATCTGCATAATGTAACGCCGCATGAAATTTCTGGCTGGTAAACGCGGGCGCGGGCGCGCGCGCGCGCACGGGACATCCGATGAATTATTTAAACAACGATACGGGACCGGCTACATAATAATTTCCGCGAGCAGCGCGCCGAGTGCGTTGTTCCGCTTCGGTTTTGATTAGAGCTGTTGCTTCTTGCGCGCGTGCACGCCCGCCAGCCAGCCGGATCCCGGCCGGGATCTCGTTGTACGGGATGTATGCATACACGGGTCCGTTCGCCTCCATTTTATAATAGAATTCCCGTACGGCGGGCGTCGCGCCGTAAAGAGATTGCGAGCTGCGCGGGGATTCCGGCCTTAAAATGATAAGAATTTATAAGGAGCCCGAGCGGGATGGGGGACGAATGCGAACTAGGGGGTCCCCGGTTTTCGTTCCCTCGGGGCCTGCGAGGGGGAAAAGTGTGCACATAAATTTCGTAGACCATCGGCTATCGACCTTAACGGTTCGGTGACCGATTATTCGGGGCTGTTCGAGAGGCCCGGCCTCGCTCCGACTCGCGCTCCGGCTCGCTCGGCTTCCTCGATCGCCACGAGTTTCGTTCAAACGAACGAAACTAACTGATTTCCCACGGGATAAATCTTTGGGTAAGCCATGGAACCTTCCCGGAGATTCGACGTAAATCGATCGCGAAAGCCCAGATGCGATTACGAACGAGTTGCCGTCGATTCTTAATCTCGAACGGTTCTTTAGACTCCTTCCGGGCAGTTTGTTTGGCTCGTTTCCCTCCGACCCTCTATCTATCTCTATCTATCTCCACCTTTCTTCTTCTTCCTCTTCTTCTTCTTTTCCTCCTCCTCCTCCTCCTTTTCCTCCTCTATCGTCGCATCCGCCACCGAACGTTTTTCTTTCTCTCCCCGAGGTATTCGATGCACGCGACGCGACCTACGCAAACGAGACCAGACCAGACTCGTCCGGCATGCACTTTGTCTCGTTATACGGCCAAAGATCTGTTACCTGGAGCTCTGTTGCCGCGGGCAACACCGTCGAACCGCTGTTATCCGGCTTTGTTAACAGCTCGTTCGCACGGCGTGCGCGCGGTTTTTTTCTCTTTTTTTTTTGATCGGTTCGATCGTTTCGTCGAGCCGATAATAACCGAAGACGACGGTGAAATAGTTATTACGTTTGGGAAAAGGTATTGATAATACTTTTTCCGACGCGAAATGTCAGATTCGTTCGATTAATTCCTGCCGTTTGCAGCTGTTTGTTTCGATTTCTTAACATCTTATCATTGAAGGAGGGAATTTTTAGGCGTTTTAGGGGTTGCGCGCTTTTGAGCAGAACTTCGAATCAGTGGTTACTTTTATTTAGTATCTATTTTGTTATTTTATATT